GCTGCTGCCCAACAGCGTGTTAAAATTGGACTAATGGCCTTTAATTTAAGCAGCAGCAGCAGCTGTAGCCGCTGTAGCCGATGGAGTTTCCATTGGTCAAAGAAAAGCTCAATGATATTCGAGTTCCACCCACAGTGGAGCCCTGTTGGACATAAGTAATTGAATAATTGTGCGGCTGCTGTTCAACTTTCTCCATTCAAAATTAAATCACTTTAAGATCAAGATCGTTCAGTAGGCTGTCTGTCCCCTTAGCGGCGCCTTAAACAAACAGCAATCCCGAACTGGCCCGACCGACACATTTGCGTGCCAATGGCGTAATTTACCACTTAACATATCAATTGTGCGGCTATTAATCAAACGAGCCAGAGATTCGTGGCGCGCCGCGCTGCTGTCCAGCTCGTTGGCTCTGCTTTGATTTGTACGCATCGCTTGTCAAACAACTGAGACAATAGGCGGTGGGGCGGGCCAAAGAGAATAAATACAACAAAACCAACAACAGAGAAAAAACACAGTTAAAATTAAAATAAACTTTTTAGAGAGAAAAAAAAAAAACAAAACAAAGCCTCGAGGCATAAAAACATATTTCATTATATCGCAAATGTCCATCAAAGCATATTAAGAGCATAAAAAGTAGAATTTTTTAACACCTCTTTGTATTGCCATCCCCACTCGAGTTCCCCACACATTGTTTGTACGGCGCTCGGCCACAGTAGTCCCCCCGCGGCTCATTGGCAGTTAGACATCCACATCCACATCCACATCGACATCGACATCGACCTGTCCGATGTGGCCAGTTGATAAACGCCTGTTTCTTTGGCATTCCTCATTCCTCAATCCTTCATCTCAATCTCAATCTCCAAACTCCAGCTCGATCGCCGGCTCGCAAGCGCAAACTATTTCATTCAGCTTGTCAAAAGATGGCGTCTAATTGCTTTTGTTTGCTCCACTAAGGTGCGCGCTACATCATTTGTAACGCACTCCAAGCGCAACAGCCCAAAGTATAACAACTCAATAAGCGAGCCGAACGATTTCAATACCGCCAGCACTTCAGAACACTTAAGCGCCGAAGTAGATCTCAGATCTTACGCACAGCTGACCCCACTTGACTTCCAGCTTGGCTCAGAAAATCAACTCATTCAGCCCAAAGCAACAGTACTTCTGTTGGCCCGAATACGTAGAACTTGCAGCAGAGTAACAATAAAAATATAAAATAAACCGAATTGAGTAGCATTTGAAGACTATAGGTGTTTTCTTATTGATTATCAAATTTTTATATTCACTATTCGATATTAAATGGCGTTTAAAATACATCTAGCATGCCTTAAATTCGACAGCCTAAAAGTAGGCAACAAAAAATGCTAAAATCGACATAACATAAATTGAGGTTGTGGTGCAGCGAATTGAGGCAAAGCATAATTGCCTTTCAATGT